GATACGGCAATCAACCTAGCTGTTTCACACGTTATGCCAGCCACGCACCACTTCCAGAGGTGGGCAGTCGGAGCGCCGCCAGGCGGCGAAAGCGCTTAATACATGCGCTGGGGCATTATTACGGCGCCGTTTGGGATTCTGAGCATGGTAACGTCTCTGTGGGTGCGTAGCCATGCACAAAGACGACAAAAGGGATTGGTTTGGTCCACTGAGCCTGACTCGTGCCTTTAACCCGATGGACTCCTCTATGTGAGGATGTTGTAGAGCAAGACCTCATAAGACTTCTCCAGCTCGGTGGGTGCTCTGAAGTTAGCGCTTCAGAAGAGGTGGGACGACATCGCCGTTGGCTACCTGCGGCGCACTGCTGATTTTGTCGTTGGACGTCAGAAGGCCTCTCTCAAAGCAGAGTCGTCAAATTCAAAGCACCTTCTGCACAAGTGATCAAATAGCTTAACTCTATCTTTGTGTGAAGTCGGTTTCCTGATCGAGTCTCTTTCTTGGCTTTTACACACAAAAACATGGCGTCCTATACTTTTCGGCCACCCTGTATATATTAATGAAATATGCAATTCGTTGCGCAGCACGCAGGGTTGAGCGTAAACAGGCGCCAGCCACACACGGGCTGTACACAGTGGTTTAATAGTTTCTTTTTCTTATTAGTTTACGTTTACGCAAAGATAATAGGAATGATTAGGTCAGTGACTTACGTGTATTCTGGTTATCTCGGTGTTATTCAGCGTCTCACGTACTTTGTCTTCCATGGGTGCAGTTAGATTGTAGATTGCTTTCGTGGCATGTACTCTGCGATATAGAAGGCTGTACGGTGGTGTTGGATACAGTATTTGTTCTTGAGCTAATACTGCTATCAAATATTCCCATACCTGCAAGCAAAAGTATGTTTGTAAGAATTAACTTGGTTATTACATCAATTAGTGATCAAGTTAGTTGTTATCCATCCTCATTAGGTATGACGTGTTTTTCATCTTTCTACAAAGTGTCACGTATTAAACTTCCATTTGAAAATCTAGTGGAGCTGAAATGAAGATTTTGTCGATGCAATTACTAGTATTTTTGAGCTGATGCGAATCAGCGTTTTTGCGGCCGTAAAGGTGTCTTAAAATTACAAATTTGTGAGGAAGATGGACCACTCTTTTGGCCCCCGCTAGAATGGAGCACGGGATTTTTTTGTATAAAACGCACTAAATAACAGCTGCCTTATCTCCGAGTTGTCCTACTGTCTTGAAAAATACTGACCAGATTAGTCCTATTGAGAAACTTCGTAATCACTTTTTCCAAATCATCAAGGGGCATGCATGGTTGGTCTGAAAAGTCGTAAGTCTTTCAATTCCTCGACTGCTGTAGTGAACCTTAACCGAAACTTCTGACATGGCTATGGGCAGATATACTATCGTATAATGAAGCACTTACAATCAGGTTTAGCGTTCACCAGGAGGAAGGGCAGGACTACGAGGAAGAACATCATGATGGTTGTGACGGAATCCAGCGCCCTCCACTCCTTTTATTTTATGGGCAAGGATTAGTTTACATGTGCACTTAGCTCCTCGCAGATGTGTGTATATGAACAGGGGTGGCCAAAAAAAGACACTCTGCACATCATCAAACTCTTCGTCGTATAGGGAACCACTGTTGATGATTCACGGCGAAATGTCCCTTACCCTTACATATCCTTCCATAAACAGAAGAGCCCTCCTCCACTGCCCTCAACGTCCTTAAAATATGAGGCCTTCTTCCATCAGTAGATTGGATGTGCTTTCCTGTACTAAGTGTGGGGGAGTCCCTTGTGTATCAAACAAAAAGTGAATTCTAGTGTCTTGCACTGCAGAAGAGCACATGCGTTTGATGTAGCCTATCTCTGTTACAAACGTGTTGGAATGCTTTCCATCTTAACCCATAACGGACGGCATGCGCCACATGGTGGCGCACGGCCTTAAAAATAAATTTTTTCCCTTTTTGCCAACTCTTCCGAGTAAAATAAATAATCATTGTATACTTACATCCTAGTAGAATAATATATATGTTTCCAGGACCGGAATGGCTCAATTGTTTGTATATCTACAACGTCTCATCTTCATGTACATTTTTTCCTTATTATTCACTAACACTACACTTCAGTAGTAATAATAGTATTTTCAAAACAGCTAGATCAAAAACCTGCACATTTGGAACCATGGCTAAATGCGACGATAGAAAAAGAAACAGAGG